ATTATCAGCTTTCTTTTCTGAGCCAAAGTGCAAGAGACCATGATAGTTTTACACTGTTTGGCTCATTGCCTCTCACTAAGAAGACAGTGTTCTCCACATCTCCCACCTTCCAGGCCACAGCTGCAGACCAGTGTTGAAGTGAGACCCTTGCACCTTCAGTGATTCATTACAGAAGTCTTTTTGAGTGCAAGAAAGAGATTGTCTTAAGGCTGAGTTTTAATAGGCTCCTCTCCTGGGGGGTGGGCAGTGAGAAAAGGAAAAAAGAAATTCATCACCCACCAGTAAGTCAAAACAAAGTGAGCAGAGGCAGTATTCTCACAAAGTTCACAGGGTAGTGGAACATCTCTAGAAACCAGGGATGGTTTGGTTTAACACTGAGGGTTTTCAGAGTTAAGTTTAGATCTTTCTGAATACAAATAGCTTGGTTAAAATGTCAAACATGGGTCCAGAAACTGGTTTCCTTCCCCATTGTAGTTAGAGCTCTGTGCAACGGTAGGCAGGCAGCAGTGTTGACGTTTGCCAGAGTCTAAAAAACTGACATGCTTTAATCAGGAGAGTAATCCATGTTACCCTTCACTTGGGAACAACAACAAAATGATGAAAGCAACAGTCAGGGAGCCACTCTCAGTTCTCAGCACACGGAGACAGACTGGGCTAAGAGCTCTATGTGGACAATCTCCCTGAATCTCCAGTCACTTGGGAGGGGTAGTTGGTAGATTATCTCCTTTGATCTTCACAGTCTTGTTAGGTGGTGTGGCTATTGCTAGCTCCCTTATTTTACACTGAAATTGACTTACACAAAGAGGTTCTAGAATGGCTTGAGAACATGTTCCCAGCCTAAGAACTGAATCTCTGACTCAGAAGCCCTAGGGCCACATCATTAGCTAGCTTTGTTGCTAGCCCCAGGGAGAAAATCCTAATTACAGCAGCCCATTGAACCATCCTGAAGAACAAGTGCTCTTGGAAATGAATACTTGGGCAATAGATATATTGCAAACTAAATCCTTGCAATGGGGAAACAGGTTACCAAGAAGGATGAGAACTGGAGGGAAGCAAGCTCCTACACTCCTCTTTTGAAGATGCCTTTACAGTAAGAATAAAAACTATTTGAAATTCAGTTACATAATAGAGCAAGCTTTGTGGCTGTTAGAGCTCCTCACGCTCAAGCGTTCTGCTTTCTGAGCTTTCTCCCTTCTTGCACTTTATGACATATCAGAGCTGCTGCCTTTCCAGGGCTGTTGTGTTTGGGAGACTTGCTCTCTCCCAGACCATCAGCAAAGGAGATCATACAGATGCAGATGTGCTTGCTGGTTTGCTAGGTGTAAGAAATCCACCCTGGCTCCTCATTCCAAACTCAGGCACATTTGACATTTTAAATCTTTTGGGAGGAAGAATGGAAAATGGCATAGCCCTATAGCCAAATCTTCATGAGATTAAGATTATCTGTGTATTGAAGCAGAGAAAGGTAAACAAAGACAGTTTTCAGCTCCTTTTATTTAACCTGACACCACATCTCTATTACCCTGGGGTTAGTGACAAATTGAGCATGTTTAATCTCAGAAGCTATTTAAGGTGGAACTTTGACCCGAAATGCTCCTGCTGTGGCTCTGTCTTTGTCCTCCAAAGCCCACCTTATTGGGCACATTACCTATGTCTCATTCCCTCCCTTGGCCGCCCTCCTGTGGAGGACAGCTCACATCCCACAACTCTTGCTCCTACTGTAGGCACAAGTACGGGGGCTGGGGGTACAAATCAGAGTGGCCCCTTAGGCCTTCTGCACCAGAGCAGGCTGGCTCATCACCCTGCTTCTCTGCCTGTGCTCACCTGGGGCCAGGACTCACCTGTAGGTTTATGAGGTTCCAGTAGAATGGCAGGTCTTCCTGTGCGGCTTGCCCTCCTTTCTGATGATGTCTGGAACTACGTCCTCCACTCCTGTGCCCTCTCTCCCAGGGGCTGGCCCTGCCAGTTCCTGTGAAAGAGTATGGAGGGCATCAAAGTCCCTCTGACACTTGCATTCCTAACGAGAAAAAAGTGGAAAGAAGAGAGTACAGAATATAAGGAAATGACACAGATTCTGGGGAGGCACTCTGAGAACTCTGTGGAACGTGGAGCTGAGAATGAGGGGTAAGAAATGCAACCACCACCCTGCATTTCACATGCCAGGTCATCACTATGTTGTCTGGACAAGAAATAAAACATAAACTTACATGGAAAATAAGCTAATAATAGAAAGTAACTGGTATGTAGTCCATGGCATGTGTTTGTTAAACAAGTTCTTATAACTGAAAGCATTTGTCAGTGGGGTAGATGGTTAGCTAGCATTCTGTCTAATAGCACACAGTCGGGTAAAGGTCTCCAGAGAGTCACAAAATAACTAGGAAAGGGAGCACATGACCCGGTAGGTGACCAGAACAGGCTTCGTGGAGGAGCCAGCATGATTCTGGAACAGGTGTGCAGTCACCTCACTTGGACCAGCCATAGCCTCCCCTCCATGTCCCTGGCCCCCACCCTCTCCAGTCAGACATCTCCAGATGGCTGGCCTCCAGGTGATGTGCCCAGGGTTAAACCCCCAGGCTCCTTATTATAGACAGACGAAAGTCCATCCTACCCACAGCCCGAGGCCCAGTGTATACATAGCACTTTGTAAACTGTAGGGTTTTCCCATTTCTCCCAGTTGCTTGCAGTATTTTGTCTCCCCACCTAGACTTTGAGCTTTATGAGGTGACAATTTGGTGTTTCTTCTTCCACCTTCCTGCTCACCACAGTCCCCCCCCCCCCATAGCAAACAATGGAGGGTGCGTGCCTGTGTGCGGAGGGGTGTGAAGTGCCGGCTGTAGGAACAGAAAAGTGGGCTGGATGGCACAGTTGAAAGTAATCTGAGTGGATCTGAATGTTGATATCAGGAGTGGAAGAGAACATTTTGGGAGGAAGAGAGGAAGGTTGAGGATACTTGAGGAACAAGTAAGAATTCCTAAATTTGGGAGCAAAAGTCTCTCTAGCAGGGACCTGGAAAGGGAATTCCCAGGAGGACAGGCTGCCTAAGAGCACTCATATGGTGGGGGTGGGGGTGGGCGTAATCAGGTTGAAAATGGGGAAAGAGGGCCCTCCCTGGTGGTGCAGCAGGTTAAAGCACAGCATTAACACACTAAAGCCACTTTAGCATGAATTCGATCCCTGCCTTGGAGATGACCCACATGGGGCAGCAGACCTCTCCTGACCCGCCCGCTGCTCCCCTCAGCAGCGTACCTTGTCGATCTGCCTGTTCTGCTCCTCATTCTGTCTCTGGTGAATCCTCACTGCCCCTGCCCCTCTGGCTTGTATGCCAGTTCTGTGTGCATAAATAAATAAATCTTTAAAGAAAATGGGGAAAGAGCTTAGGGTTTTTGGTTCAGTTGTTGGATGAATAGACAGAGTAATGTTCCTATTGTGGCTGGATCAGGAATCAGCTGGAGACCCAGGAAAAGGCCATTTGAGCTGAGGGCAGAGGAGAAGGGGGAATTGGAGCTTCAGGAGGTAGCAAGGCTCAGTGCAGACTGACTTTTCTTTGTGCTATGGCAGACCCAAGCATTTTGCAGAGCAGCAGGAAAGAAGCCACTGACCAGGGAGAACTTGAAGAGAAAGAAAGAGACAAGGGCTGATGTGGGATTCTCAGGGAACCAGGAGGGCGGAGACCTCATGGCGTCAGTGTATAAGGCAAATGCCCTTCTCAACTCTGGCGGGAGACTGAAGATTGCAATGAGGTGATTCCTGCCCCTCACCACTCCTTAGTGACCAGAGAGAAGGAAGCTCCAGGTTAAACTGGACACAGAGGCAAATACAAGTAAACCGGTGTCCTGTGCACTGAAGAGGGAGGTGTAGTGGTGTGTGTGAGGCCACAGCCTGGAGTCACACAGACATCTGCATGTGTTGCGTGTGGGAAAGGCAGCACTTCCCTGGCTGACCCCAGTGTGCTGCCCAGAAGGACACAGGACAGGGCTGGCACCAGCACATGGAGAGTTCTTTGTTTCACGTGGTGGCAGGCAAGCATTCAGAGAGCAGGCTCATGGAGACCTCGCATTCGATGTGCATTGTGCCCCTAAGAATTCATTTACTGAATCCATAGGTTTCCTTGAATAAAAAACACACTCCATTCCTTTTGTTGCTGACAATGAAAGCAAGAAATTTCTCATCATAGAAAACAGGGAAATACAGAAGAATCGGAGTGTTAGAGGGGAGATGAGACATAGTTTTACCACCCAAAGATAAGCACTGTGGACATGGAAGAAAACTCAGAAAAAAAGTTAGGACTTTTTGGTGTCTCCACAAAGGGAAGGTTTTGCTTATAATTTTTTTAAAGAGATGCGTTTATTTATGCATACAAAACGAGGGTACAGGCCAGAGGTGCAGGGGTGGTGAGAAGATTCACCAGAGACAGAGTGGGGAGCAGAACAGGTGGACTGAGGAAGTACACTGCTGAGGGGAGCAGCGGGTAGGCCAGGAGACATCTGCTGCACCTTGTGGGTCACCTCCTGGGCGGGGATAGAACTCATATTGAAGTGGCTTTAGCTTATTGTGCTGTGCTTTAACCTGCTGCACCACCAGGGAGGGCCCTTGCTTACGATTTTTTAAAGGAGAAATAATAGTGTCTATAACTTCCAGGAAATCAGGTGATCTGTGCAAGTGCGAAATGAGAGACTGAATAATAACGAAATCTGATCTCTTTGTGTACTCACTTTTATCTCATTCCGGAAAGTCTTTCACAGGAGGTGGCTTTCTAGTGGGCATTTAATTTTTGTGACTGTGGCTAGAGGAACATAATCTCTTTGATGTATTTTAAATGAGAAGACAAAGTCCTCTAAAGAAAAACAACAATCTCACCAGGAAGACTCCACACCCCCTTTCCTCGTCCTCACCCAGTCCTGTCTTCTGAGCCCTCGCACAGTGGCTTAGTGTGGCAGGTGCTAAAGGTGATGCTAGCTGGGGAATAGGACAGCTTTGCATAACCTGCGTCTTGCCCACAGAGAAGGGTCTGCCTCCTGCAGCCGCAGGCCCCGGCGCCGACAGCCCACCTGCGCCTCCGTGGATCACCATCACCCGGCAGAAGCGGAGAGGGGCCCCAGACCAGCCACCGGACCAGGAAGAAAAGCCTGGGGTGAGGCCCCTGAGGTCTGAACTGGGGAAGCAAGCCAAGGTGCCCGAGAGAGCCCAGGTGCTTAGAGCTAATACTTTCTGTCTCTAGGGATAGGAGAGCACAGCCAGCTGAGACTTGGGGCTGCACACCAGAGATGACCACACATCCTGCATGGTCATTGTAGAAACCATCACCTGTTATCATTGGTATCTGCCCTTTGCATGCCTTTCGGGAGGCAAAGAAGTGAGTGAATCACTTCAGCAGTGGAGACAGCTCCTTGCTCCTGACCGCCTCAGCAATACAGCGCCTGGAGAAATGGAATAGGGTTAAACTAACCTTTCAGTTATATGTACAGTGACCATGTCAGCAGCTCCACCTTGCGCACTGCATGCTGATGGACAAGTCCTACCTTTGCTGCTGTACTGGACCCCTGCCAGGGCTCCTTCTTCCTCTAGGGCTGCAAGACCCATTTTGCACCCTGGCCTGAAAAGTGCTTTTTCATATGCAAACTGTTCTTAGAAGCAGCCCAAGAGACTCACCACTTTTGTATTCCTCCAGTAGCCTGTGCAGTAGATCCCTCTGCATGTTTCAACTGTGAAGAGAAAGGATCAGGCCTGTGGCAGCATCTGTTTCCCTTTAACTAGAACTTTACCTGCACCCTTGTGCAGGCTTGGGGAATTTATAAGACAAATATTAGCCGATGATCCCCATTGAGGGCATCCACGGTCATACCCTGTTTTAAGAAATCATAAGACTATTTTCAAATAGAATTTATTTTGATTTTTGAATGGAATCCTACCATCCACCATCTTGGGGAGGGGTCTGGGTAAAACTCCCACTCTGGTTTGAGTGCCAGTTGGGAAGGCTCACCATCAGCAAGTGCACAAACCACAGCATTGCCAAGAAAGTGCCAGTACTCAGTTCATCTTGGTGGGGAAGCTGCATGAGCTGCCACTGCCTTTGACGACTGTGGCTCCTCTATAAATCTCAGGTGTGGTTTCTATAAAATGTGTCTTTTTCATGCCTCACAGGAGCCCATGAAGCAAGCTGATTTTGTTCGAAGCAAGTCTTTCCTGATCACTCCTGCTAAGCCCGCCGGGGACCGGGGGCAGGGGACGAAGATTCGCCTCCAGGAGGGGCTGCAAAGAGGGATCTCCTTGTCTCATCAGAACTTGGGTATGAAGCCTGCACTAACATAGGTCTCCAGAATTGGACCTATGGTTTTATTTTGCTTTTTTGAAATGTCTGCCATATTGATATATTTTTTAACAGTTTCTATTGAAATATCATTTATGGACAGTAGAACTTACCTGTTCTAGGTGTGCAATTCATGGTGTATTTTTTTCTGAGAACAGAGTATCACCACCATGACAGTCTAAGCCTAGAATATTCCCTCTCTCTCTCATGCCCATTTAAATTCACTCATTATACCTATCCCCAGTTCTGTCAGCTATGAATCTACTGTCTGCTGCTTTGTATGTGCTTTTCTTTGACTATTTTTATAAATGAAATCAGAAGATACGTTTTCTTTAATGTCTGGCTTCTTTTACTGAGCAATACAAAGTCTTTGAGATTCATCTCTTGTATTTTTGTAAGATTTTTCAGTGTTTGCTAATTTGTAATTGTGGTAAAATACTCAGAGCCAACAGCTCAGTAACATTAAGTATATTTACCCTGTTGTACATCCATTCTCCATAGTTCCTGCAGTTTTATTCTGAAAGTTTCTTTCATCTCACTGCATTTCTGGAAGTGTCTGAGCCTGCCCTTAGGTCATTTTTTATCACATAAATTAGTCTATGCCTAAATCTCTACATGTTTACACACTAGTGAATTTTAAGGTGGAGACTACAGTTAAGATGGTGCTATATATTTTTTAAAGACATGCAAAAGGTCATCCAACCTCATTTCTCATGTTTCTGTTTGTTTTTTCTTCTTTCCAGCGGCTCAGACTGCCGTGATGACAGAGAAAGAATTACATCAGCTGAAGAGAGCCAGTTATGCTAGTACAGATCAGCCATCCTGGATGGAACTTGCCAGAAAGAAATCTCAAGCTTGGAGTGACATGCCTCAAATTATAAAATAAGTTGACCATGTACTAATAAAGAATGTCCACCTCCTTGATGGTTAAGCTACTTAAAAACTGCCGCTAAATCAGGGCAACTGAATGTGAAATACAAGAGTGACTTTATCATCAAGTGAGGGGAGGGCAAGCTAGGAGAAGAGGAAGAAACCAGGTAAACAAGGAAGACAGACTCTCAGCCACAACCCTGGGCCAGAGGCTGCACACAAGAACACCATTGAAAAGGGCCAGGGACAAGGTCCTGTGCTAAGAGGTATGAATGTGAGGCTTTCAGAATTCCCCTGATGAAGAGGGCTTGGCCGAGGAAGAAAATGAAACGTGGATGCATAAACAGGACACTGTCGAAAGCCCAGAAGAGAAGCAGCTCCAGGGGGTGTCGGTCTGTACTTCCACGTGAGAGCAGCTTGTGTCTCTGGTCACTGTCTGGCCTGGAGCCTGTGTTCTCCTTTCACGTTAAGGGTAAAGGGTGACATTTAGGGTAAAACAGGGATGCCGTTTCCAAGAGCAGCTATAAAAAAATCAGTTTTCCCGAGGATAGCCACTCTAAGAAGGAGCTGAAGGAACACAGCAGGGTCCGTCAATTCAGAGACTGTTCCCAAAAATAATTTTTAAACTTTTCCACGAGGCATCTGTGTCTTTAGCCATTGCGCAATGCATTGCCTGTTCAATAAAAAGTTTCAAACTGTTTTCTCACGTGTTATTTTCTACTCTCATTTAATTCTCAAGCTGTTTCTTCACTCTTTTTCCTTTGAGTCTTTCCTTTTTTTTCTTGGTTCTTTTCCTATCTGTGTCTTCAAGAGTACTGATTCCTTCATTCATATCATCTATTATATTTTCATGACTTCTCCCAGAATTTACTAGCTCCCCTGTTGATCTTTTAACATCCTGCAGCTCTTCTATTTTCTTTCTCAAAGTTTCAGTCTTACTCTTCCTTCAATATGTACCTCATATTATTCTTTACCTTGTCTTCATCTTCTTTGTATTTCTGATTTATTTTTCTGAGTTTTGATTGTGTTCAAGTTCTTTGACTCTCTTAATTATGGTGATTTTGATTCATCTGACAGGAGAATTCTGGGTCTGTGTTGTTGAGTTCTGGAGTTTGATTTTTTCTCTGTGGTACGTTGTTACCCCGTGGGCTTCATTGGCCATTTGTGTTTTTCCTTCTCATCGTTGTTTGCTTTGAGTTTGCACTGCTGTATTGGTGTCTTGGGTGTGCATGAGTCCTTCTCCCTGCTGTGTGGGTGTTTAGTTGATGTTGGGTACAGCTGCTGGAGTCTTGTAGGATCTGGGGTGGCACTAGAGTTGCTCTCAAAGCTCTCCTAGGCCTTGCTGTGATGGCTGGGAGGGCTGGGGGCCACTGAGTCCAGAGGCTGAGTTGTGGCGACCTTACCTCTCCTAGGAGTAGTGGCTTGGGGTCTTCCTCTGGTAGCCAGGAAGGCAAGGGGTTGCCAGAGATTTCTGGGAGTAGTTGAGGGCTCTTAGTAATGGTCAAGGCACTGAGAGGGCCAGGCTGGGGCCCAGTCTGCAGGAGGCACCATCAAGCTAAGTGAGATATACTTCCTGTCGTAGCCTGAGGCCCATGGTGAACAGTTAGGTCGTGCAGGTTTGCAGCTTAGGCCACTGTCTACTCCTCAGAAGCTAGTATCTGGTACTGGGATCGGGGGTGGGGGGCTTACCTGGGAATAGCTGAGGGTCCCCAATTCAGGACACAGTACTGTGAGGCTTCAGCTGTGTCCCATTCCTTAGGGTTGTTCTACTTACATTTATTTAGAGGACATCTTCCAATGCTAAGTTAAATAGAGTTTATGGAGTTGTACATAATGCATAATAGATCTTATTTAAAATCTCAATTATAATGGGAAGTATGTCCATTTCATAAGATTTTGATTGAGTTGTTTGTGGAGTTTGGTTTCTTAAAATAGTTTTTCCAGTACAGTTTTGGTGTTTGTATTTGAAAATCAGAAGATTATACAGATTTATTTTTTCATCTTTTGGATGCAATGTCTTAAAAATATAACATTTCCTTGTAATTTAATTAATCTAACCTGCACATTTCTACTGAAAACTAGTTTATCAGTACATTAGCCAGGATGACCCATGAATACAGAAGAACCAGAAAGGGGAGAACACATACCTGAAACTCTCAGAATTGAGTCTCAGTTACAGAATACCTCCATATCTGTTCTACCATTATTGTAAAGGTTCTAGGAGAGGTGTTTTTCTCAAACCAAATTGATGTATTAATTTCATTCTCATGGAGAACAGCAATACTGAACTCCGTGGTGAATGTGCTTTAAGCAAACACTACCTGGCTTTCCTCTCAAAACTCAGACATGAATAATTTTTTTTGTTTGTTTGGTTTTTTGTTTGTTTTTTTAAGATTTATTTATTTGTGCATACAGAACTGGGGTACAGGCCAGAGACTTAGGAGCAGCGAGAGGCTTCACCAGAGACAGAGTGGGGAGCAGAACAGGCAGATCGACGAAGTACACTGCTGAGGGGAGCAGCGGGCGGGTCAGGAGAGGTCTGCCGCGCCATGTGCATGTGGTCGAACTCATGCAGAAGTGGCTTTAGCTTCTTAGTGCTGTGCTTTAACCCGCTACGCCACCAGGGAGGGCTGACATGAATAAGTTTTAACTGGCAAAAATTATGTTGGCTATTATTTCTTCTATTAGAACATTTCAGATGAACTATTTTGAGGCAGTAGAAATTCATTGCAAGAGTCAAAGTATTTGGTTCAGTTTTGTTCAGATAAGATGGATATTGTCTCTGCAGCTTAGATTGTTTTTTGATATTAAATTAAAAGGTAAATTCAAAGTAGATTTTTAGGACACTTTAGGAATTCACTGAGGGGTAGTCCTGCAACTGATACTCACCTCCCTGTAGGGAGGTTGTGATCCCCTGCCACAGCAAAAGTTGCTGAGACAGTGGCCAAAATTTGAAAATGATGTGGGACATGTGGAGTGGCAGTGGAGATGGCAAAAGTCTGCAAGGAAATGCCAGTGTTGACTTTCCTGAGACTATGAGAGATTACTGAGTCTCTCTTATGAGCCAGGAATTGCTCTGAATGCTTTATATATAAATTATTCATCCTCTCCACAGTCCTTTGTAGGTGGGTATTTAGCTCCGCGTGCAGATGTGGAAACTGAGGCACGCTGAGGTTAAGGTCACCTAGCCAAATTCTCAGAGCAGGTGAATACCTGTTAAATAACTCTGGGCCTTGTGCTTTAACCACTATGCTCAGTTGATGGCCCCATTTTTAAAAAGACTTAGTCCAGAGGTGAACTGTGTCCTTAGGGATGTACTACAGATAAGAGCACACCAAGCAGGACCTCAAAGAATCCTACAGGGATACAGTCTCCACGACTGTGAGAAATACCTTTCTGTTATTTAAGTCAACCAGCCTGTGGGGCTTTGTTATGGCAACACTAACAAACCAGCACCTCTTGGCAATCACCAGCATCATCTTACCAGCCACTAACTTCAAGTTGGCTCCTCCAGCCCCAGTCAAGCCTTCATATGACAGCTGCCAGCTGGCATTGTGATGGCAACCTAGCAAGAGATCTGCCAGCTGAGCTGCTCACAAATTCTGACCACTGAAATTGCCAAGTAATAAATATTTTTCATTTTTTAAACCACTAAGTTTTGGGGTAATTTGTTACACAGCAGCAGGTAACTAATACAGAAGTTTCAAAATCTTTTTCTGGGTCCTAAATTGGCAAATCCCTACTTGTTTTAAAGTTAACATTTTACTTGAGGTTAAGAACACAATCATGAGCACAGTATGAAAACTTTATTGAACACCTTCCAAAATGTAGTATGTCTTAGGTAACATGGCAGAGATGAGGGGCAAGAGGAGTGATGTACCCCCCTTACAGAGAGTACCGTGCATCTGGAAGCAGATGCTTTGCCATGGATTACACCCTCTCCCACCCACACATAACACCTATCTGTACATGGTACCTGCTCACTGAGTTCTGGCTCGTGGGTAGAAGAGGTGTGCATCCCACATACAAAGCACTAACTTTTCTCAAGAGAGAGAATCAAGATGACAGATAAGCACCCGTGGAAAACACTTCAGAGGAAAGAGCTGTATAACCCAAAGAGATGAATAAGGCGGGGGGGGGGGAGAGAGAGCTTTCTTCAGATATTTGAAGAAAGAAGAGAGAATTAACTAGTTCTGTGTAACTCCACGGAGAATCAGCCAGGCCCAGAAATAAAAGTTTAAAGAGAAGGACAAAGGAAAGAGTGTTTTAACCATGGGACTTGTCCAGCCTGGAACAGGATGCTGGGCAGGAATGAGTTCCCTGCCACTCAGAGTGAGCAAGCTGAGGGAGGCTGGCCACCCCTCCGAGGTTGGAAGGACATTTACCCTGGTGTGAGTTCGGACTGGGTGACCTCAGCCTGGAGCTATTTATATCCACACACAGCTCTAAAGTGGGGCCTTTTACACCAGCTCTGTAATATAATTATATTACATTGCTCTTAATACTAATTATTACCAAGAAGTAATCATCCAGAAAAGAATCCAAATGGGCTTTTAGGCAGGATGTAGTTGGACAAAGTGCTTTGAAAGCTTTTTGTTACCAGGAGAAGGCAGCTATGCAGAAACAACCGGTCAGGACTAGCTCTCCCCAACCCCCTTGTACAGATGGGGGTGAAAATCTGCTTTCCCAACCCCTTGAATCTCTGGTCAATGCTCTTTAACTCCTGTGTGGAAAGAAATACTTATTCTGTTAGATGAAAAAAATCTCTAGAGAATAGAGATTATTATTCAGTTTCCTAAAACTGAATAGCAAAAATAATGCAGGCTGAATGCATGTGTTTTGGGTAATCGTGGTTGACATTTGCCGTCTATGAATTGTCTAGCTTCCTTCCTTATTTCTCCATAGGGAAATTGCCCTCATTAGCATGGAAATAAAGGAGAAATGTCTCTGTGATGTCCAGAAGAGCTTAAAAACAACAGTCAGGCTGGTCTTTGGGGTGTGCTGCAGATCTCACTGACCTCTCTAAAAGGTGCTGCAGTATTTGCAGAGAGCCAGAGGCCCCCACTGGCTTGCCTCTGACCATGAACAGCCCTCCCTGCCAGGCGCCTTGTTCCACAGCTGCTATTACGCTTGCAGAAAAACATTTAGCTCATTATCTAATAAAGAACAAGTTGCCCCTAAAAGATACCCTGCAGAAATAAGAGTTCTGATATCAAAGTTAGGAAAAGGCAGACTTGCTACTGAGACAAAAGAAACTGGATGCAAATCACCAGGGAGTACTTTAGACAAAATAAACCCATCTTTCAGAAGCTGGTGTCTATTTTTTTCCAAAGATTTGCTTACTTATGCATACAAAAGCTGGGTTGCAGCCAGAGGTAGGGGGTGCAGAGAAAGGGGTGTGTAAGGGGATTCAGCAGAGACAGAGTGGGGAGCAAGAACAGGGACATCACCAAAATACACTGCTGAGGGGGGCAGTGGGTGAGACAGGAGAGGTCTGCTATGCCATGTGGGTTAGTTCCTGGCAGGGCATCAAATTCATACTGCAGTGGCTGGCAATAGCTTCATTGTGTTGAGATTTAACCCTTTGCGCCACCAGAAGCTGGTGTCTTTCAATTGAGAAGTTCTGATGTCATTTTTTGAGTACAGGGT